AGAAGGAGGAGAGATAAGGACGATAGATGTTTGATAGGAAAGAAGGAGGAGAGATAAGGACGATAGATGTTTGATAGGAAAGAAGGAGGAGAGATAAGGACGATAGATGTTTGATAGGAAAGAAGGACCACAGCAGAGAGAGCCCCCGCCAACCACCCATGATCCATCACATCAAACTTTTTGAGACAGGAAACAGCAGAGCACTTTCAGAAACAGTGAGGACACCACCGGTAAGTATTTCCACTGACATAGACACAACGTCACCTCAGGACTACTTTCTCCAAAGTACACTGAACTATATATCGCATGCACTTTGGACAAAATAGTTCTGAGGCGAGGACAAGCACAGAAAAAGTCGTAAAATCGTCACCAACCTCCGTGAGAGCTACACGGTCGGCTGAGTCCCCACGGTCTCCGTGCCTGCGACTTTTCTTGTCGTCCTGTGAGCCAGAGGGGAAAACACATGTGAGAACATCTTTCTAGGTCAGCGAGAGTTTCAGGACACTCACAACTATTTGAACAACTATTTAGTTCAGTGAGAGTTTCCCACCGTCGGCCACTATCTGAACAACTATTTAGTTCAATGAGAGTTTCCCACCGTCGGCCAGTATCTGAACAACTATTTAGTTCAGTGAGAGTTTCCCACCGTCGGCCACTATCTGAACAACTATTTACACAACCTACGCACTGATGCACCTACCACTGGGAAAATCTTAAAAGGAGAAAGTAAAAAAAAAGGGGGGACAAACGGGAATTTACAAAATGACATCACTACAGAGCACAATAGTGCAGTCTTCAGAGCCACGATAAATACGCAACTCTACCCAGAGTCGAGACTCACTACCATCTAGGAAAAAAATATTTACATTTGACATTGAGACTCTTCGACTGTGACTCAACTTTGACCCCAATCTATCAGCTTCTCACAAACACTTACGTCTTCCTTACGATGAGACCTGCGGTCCCCTCCGTGTCTGCGATCTGAGCCGTTGACATCTTCTCGGTGGCGCTTGTGATCGCCTGGGAAATATAGAGGGGAGATCTCTCTTGACAAATTACATCGATGGCCGTACATACTTCATTACCCCTGTGTTGTCAAATCACCATCCCCAGAAACACTTCACCAGAGACAAAGTTCACCTGTCTCGACCCACTCAGCCCGGGCCCAGCACCTGATGTGACCACGCCCCACTACGCTACAACTCAGCCCGGCCTGATGTGACCATGCCCCACTACGCTACAACTCAGTCCGGCCTGATGTGACCACGCCCCACTACGCTACAACCCAGCACCTGATGTGACAGCGCCCCGCTACCCTACAACTCAGACCACAAGGACACTGATTGTTTTCTTCTCTCCGACACATTTCCCATAGAGGCTGCCGGCCAGGAAGTAAGCTGTGAACAGCCGTGACCTTTAACCGCACCTCGTTCTGCGAAAACTGGGACTTCAGTTTCTGTTACTGTATAATCAGTGAAAACCGACGATCACTTTCCATGCAAATCCATATTTATATATATATATAATATATATATATATATATGATATATGTATACGCTATCTCTGATGAGGTAAATATTTCTGTGTTACGTGAAATCATCCTTGAGTAGAAATTGTTATTTCAGAAGTATTTGGCGCTAAATGGAGTCTGGTCTGAACATACAGTCCAATATACTTTCTTATCGGTATAAAAACCTGATCGTGAATGATGAGTTGAAACCTTCTGTAACTTTTTCCGTACTAAAAGACCTGATAATGAGCAAAACTAACAGACCTCAATAAATAATACAAGAAATGTTTTACCAAAAAGAATCCCCTTTTATCCTTACCATCATCTTCCTTTCTCTTTCTGCGATGCATATCATCCTTTGGGCCCTGGAGAAAGAGAAAAGCAGTCTCATTATTTGAAAGCTTGTCATTGAAGGCAAAAAAATACATTTGTGAGGCATCATGGGGAAATCAGGCGCTTGTCCAAATAAAGAAATCAAAGAAAAAGACATTTTCTCCACCGGTTTGACAATTTTGTCGAATTTTTGTTCTTTGGCTCAACACCTTGTATGTCCATTAAAAAACACATTTCTCTGTGGATTATATTGAAAAACGAAGAATGAAAGTACAAAAAATGTACATTTTGAGTTTTCAAGGACTCTTAAACTACAGTAGGAATCATCAAACTTTTGCTGCCATTTTTGTGCTAATTTTACCTCGGAAAAGAGGCGACCCCACTCTTGGTTTTTCTTTAGACACACACACACAAATGTCGCAGGTTTGACTGTACACTCGGATTTGTCCAAACAGCCACCCGTTGTTGAGGGCAAAGTCGTTGCCATAGAGACAGATGGATGCCTCGGACAGTCAGAGACAGCCTCATCCTAATGTTGACAAAATGACCGGTAAAGGGGACAAGGGATCCGTCATATATCAGCCTCATGCTAATGTTGACAAAATGATTAGGGGGACAATGGAACAGCAGGTCGTTTGTACACATGACTGCCTTAGGCAGGTGGCCATTACAGCAGGGTGGACTGTTTCCTAAAATGTCCATTTCTGTATGACACATTAGACCCAATCAGGCTCTTGTCAATAATTCTTGGTATCATAGCAAAGCTTGCTCATTTGTCTTGCTTTTGATATTGATGAAGAAGTATCTATCTTGAAAAGAAGATATGAGATATTAGCGATTGAAGTCGGTATATATGGCTGGCCTCGACTCAATTCAACTGGCAGTGTGCAGGGTAACATGTTCAGGCTAAACAACTCCTTATCATTTTCTCTACCCTAGCTCTTCATCGTCACAGCTTGAGAGTGGTGTTGGTAGTCTACTGGTTATAAGGAAACTGGACTCATATGAGGGATCGGGTATCCAAGCCTCAGCTCAGTCCAATATTGTAGTGTCCTTGGGGAAAGGCACTTTGCATGAATTTCCTATTGGCTCAGTCCTTTTTGTGAAGGACATTAAACTCTGAAAATGACCAAATAGTATTGATAGGGGCGTTAAACCCATACCATTTCCCATTTTCATTTAATAGTTTTTATAGTCTGTGTAGAGTCTTACCTTCAAGGCTTTATTCAGTTCATCTGGTGTCCAAGTGTCGTCCTTTCGCCTCCTCTGTTGACCATAAAGGGCAATGATAAGAACAAAAAGATCTTTGTCCAAATGTGAAAATTGATGCAAATCTTGAAGTTAAAGTATTGAAAAATTCTCAAACAGATAGATCTAGAATCAAGATCTAGATTTTAGAATCTAGCCTAAGAAACATGCAGACAAAATCACCAATTTCTGCAGACAATCTGATCTTGGGTTGAGGGCAGTTTTAATCAAATGTTAGGGCACAACAGAAGGAGATATATATATATGTATTGCAAGGAGCAATAAACAGGTTAATTTTCACACAGTTTTCTACAAAAGTGACAGACATGGTCATGATGATTGAAGAAAGCCTAAAATGAACTCGCGGAAACCGTACAATGTACGATACAAAAAAACCTCCAAGAACACTTCAAAGTGACAGAAAACTAAATTTGGGAAAACATCAGTTCTAGATCTAGATATCTAGATCTAATCTAGCTGTTCAAAGAAAAAGGGGAAATTCTAATCAAGGAAAAAGTTAGAACCTAGAAGAACTGAATCTAGAGTCTAGATCTAGATCTAGATCTAGATCTAGATCTGGATCTAGATCTAGAGATCTAGATTTTTTAGAAATGTCTAAGTCTAAGCCATTGACAGTACAGTTATGTTTGTCCCGCATTTCTGCCTTTCACGAAGATGTGTAACTAAATGTTACACTCCACAGTGACTACAGGAAGAGAGACAGTGTTGTTATACAGAAACGTCTTATGCTTACGTTCTCCGAGGGCATCCTTTGGTTCAATTCTCTCCAAACGAAGATTGAAGTCTTCCTCCGTGTTGATTTCACTGTTCAACTGTTTACGATCTCTAACGCCGCCATGTTTCAACAATGGTATGTCTAAAAATAGGTATTCAAGCCGTTAAGGCAATTGGTTATGGTGCGCATTAAAAAATTAAAAAACAAACTATTTTTGCTTGATTTCAAGACAAGCACACAAACAAATAAGAAAAATTATTTCTTATTTATTTTAATTTCGACGTAAATTTGCAGCATTCTAGACTACTTTCCGGCACAAATTAAAATATTATAGATTACTTTTCCTTCTAGTTTTATTGCCAGTTTGACACTTGACACTTTGTCACTGGTCGTGAAGAATTCTGTGGAGTGGAATTAAAAGAATAACCCAGGTTATCACCCACCTATGGCAACGCAGCGTGTGCATGCGCACGCACGCACACACACTCTCACTCACACACACACACACATAAACAAACAAACAAACACACGTACTTCATCATCATCATCATCGTCGTTGTCGTGGGTGGGACATTATTCCATGCTGTTTGAAACGTTATAGATCTCATAATATATCAGCCGGGGACAAAACTTCCCGATGCCGTCGACACAAACACGTTGAAGATTGTAGGAGTCAATTTTCTTTCGAGGGAAGCATGTAACATGGACGATTTGGAAGGGGGGGGGGGGTAGACTACTTGTACCGTTTGCATGAGTCAGCACCTCTATGAGGTTTATTATAGGAAACTGAGCGAGCGGCAAGCCTGTGTTCACTGTGGCTGTCCTGCACAGGTTTTATCACTTTGCCGAGGCACATATAAGATATCTACCAGTACACACACAAACATGTAGCCTATGCACCCACATACGCACACACACACACACACACACACACACACACACACACACACATACGCACGCACACAACACATACACACACTCACCCACAGAGCTGGTAGTAACGGAGTACAAGTAGGCCTACTCCGGTACTTGTACTTACGTTACAATTTTCGGTACTTTTACTGTACTCCGGTACATTTTTTAAACCAGTACTTTTATTGTACTCCGATACTTTTTATAAAAGTACTTTTGAGTATTTTTAAAGTACATTTTGAGTACTTTGGTAGCTTAATGAAAGGGTAAGTGCAGGCGTTTCTGATCATAATTTACGGAACAAAAACCCGATCAACCGCCAAGAGTTAAAAGTTGAGATCAAAGAACGGCCCGTCGCCTCAAAGAT